TTAAGATCTAATGATAAAATAACTGCCATTAGTTATGATCTTCTGGAATCACAAATTTGGTCTTTATTAGCTAGTTTTTGTTCGAATCCTTCTGATATATCCACATCGTTTCGGGTAAGATAGAATATAATATACAATCAATATTATTGCATATTCATCTATAATGTATGCAAATATGTAATATATAAATCTTCATATTTAATACAATTGTACATAATGCACTTTCTAAACTGTGTACAATAATTAATTGTCATCATTTCATTTTAAATTATAAGTAAATATTATGTGTCCACGCACAATTTAAATTTTGAATATAAATGGAAAAAATAATTTAGTTCCTAATTGTGAAAGAAATAGAAATTATATCTTCAAAATTCAATTGACCTCAACGATACTATGATCATTTTTACTAAATTAAATTAACAGAAAAAAAAAATAAAAAATTTCTTTATTATAAATTTTTTTATATTATAATATATAATACAATATATTATAAAATATACAACTAGTATAAACTTAAAATTAATATCAAATAACATTCCATTCTATATTTTATTAATTTTATTGGTCTTCAACTTTAATGTCAAATAAGAAAAAAATTATTTAAATTTAATAAATAATTAAGAGTGTTTACTTTTGTAGAAATCAGCTAAAAACGTCAGACTATGCTTAAATTAGAGCTTTAAAAATAATGATATTTTTATTATTTTATAATTTATTATTATTATGCCAATAAACCAATATTGTTGAAATAGATGTATTCACTTAGTGAAACATATTATAACCTGAGACATAAATATAATGACTAAATATTTGGTAGTTACACTCAGACTACAAATAATTGCGTATTATAGGTTTATAAGTTTTTGTGACATATTGAATGAGTCCAATGCCTAGAAAGTAACTAATATAAATTATTTGAATTCAAGTTTGAAAATTTAATTGGTTCCCATCACAAGTTGTATACAATAAATTAGAGAATAGGTTCAATTGATCACCTCCGTGTGTTATATAAATCTAAATATATTAAACTGATGTTTTAGATTATTGCCAGAACCATGGGTACTATGTTAAGTTCTCGTAAGGAGTTAAGAGATACAATTCTTGTGTCATTAAGGAAACTTATAGCTTCGGTTTCTAAAAATGATGATGTACCCGATGACAAAGAACAGTTGTCTTATTTTGCAAAGAACTTTTTACCAATCTGTTTGAATTTATATACTAACCCTGCTCACGGTACAGACGAACAAGCTACTAGATTTTCTGCTTTGGAAACAATCAAAGTAAATTATATTTATTTTTATTTTTATTTTATAATTGAATTACTTAATTGTTTTAATTTATTATTACAGATGTATTTGACATTGTCAGACGATGAAATAAAAGAACAGTTATTTAATAAATGTTGTGGTATGCTGGATAATTCAAAAGATGCGGAACATACAGTGATAGAAAGCATTCTTGATATTATTGGAGTATTGGTACCTTATCAATCTGTTAAGACACTAAAATCATTTTTTGATTCCCGAATTTCTAAAGCCAAACAATTGAAAAATTTCAAAGAAGAAAAGAAATATTTTAGGTACTATACATAATAATATTATATTTATTATTTTGTAATTTAATAATAACATATAACAATAATAAAAAAAAATCAATAGGATTCTGGAAGAAATTTGCAGTTCTCAGTCTCTAACTTGCAATAAATTTGTAAAAAAAAATTTTGAAAACATACAAAACTTTATATTGTCAACAGCTCAAAATGCTGCGGCTACCAGTCGTGGGGTAACTTATATTTTGAATGCATTTTTTGTTTATTTATCAATAATTTATTAAATTTTATGTTCAGCCTCGATTACGATGTTTAGCACATCTCTTAGATCATACTGATGATGACAATGTGATTCAAAGTATATTAACTCATCTCCCTGAAGCTGTGCTTTGCTGTAAAGGTTCCACTGTTAATAAACGATGTCGTGAATGTGCTTTTTCATTGATTAATAAAATGGCTTTATTAGCAATTAAAGTTGAAAACGGCTTAGAAAACTTTTTAAATGCTTTATCAGCAGGATTAGCTGGTTCAATTCCAATGATGAGTTGTACTATTTTAGCATTAGCTTCAGTTCTCCATAACCGTAAAGGTATATAATAAAATAAGTAACTTAAAATTGAACTAAAACAATAATAACTGTTTATTTTAGATGAAATTAATTCAATTCTATTTGAAACAATTTTAAGTAATATTTGTTTACTTATTACAACTGGAACTAGAGAAGTGGTTAGCTCAGCTTTAAGCTTTATCAAAGTGATGATTACTTCATTTTCCGATGGTCTGATGCCCTATCTTTCAACAATTGTAAGCTAAATTATTATTAAATTATAAATATTAATGTGTTAAATTATATTTTATGTCTAATATACACAAAACAAATAATTATAAAAGGTTCGTAGTAGTAAAAACATTGCCACACATACACGTGTTTGCTTACCTACTGTAACAACATCTTACCTTTCCAACCATAGTTCATAATACCCTACAACAGCTAATGGCAATAAGTTCAATAAAAAAAAATAAGCAACAAGTCAATATCCAGCAACATTTCACAGCCCCAGCAAATGTGTGAAAAATGAAATACACATCCATATTTTGAATATTACCGTATACACACAGTATCATTGTCAATATTTTAAAATAAAATGTTATTTATTTTTAGTTGAGTTCTCTTTCAAAAATGACAGATGATTGTAAACGAAAATTTCGTCAGGAAACTAAAAATATATATCAAAGACTGGTACGTAAATTTGGTACAAATCTAATTATACAAATGGTACCAAATACTGATGTTCAAACACATGTACGTTTACGTGCCTTAAATAAAGAATCTGAACGATTGAAGAGAAATAAGGAAAAAAGAACAAAAGAGAAAATAAATGATAAAGTTGACGTTGACTTTAGTCTTAAAACTAAACCCAAAACGTGTGTATATAATATTTTTTTATTTAAAATTTTTATATGATAAGATCATTAATAACAAATTATTTTTATTACCGTATTAGATTTGAAGAGATTTTGGCTGAATGTGAAGAAGATGATGAATTAGAAACTAATTCTAACCAAATCCCAAAGGCCAAACCAGAAAAAGGCAGAAAGAAAAAATCTGCCGACAATTATTTGCACGAAAGTGAAGATGATATATTAGATTTTACTGAAGCAACTTCAAACAGAAAAATTTTGAGTAAGTTTAATTTAATTTAAATTTATATTTCTTTATTAATGAATGTTTCCTTGTGTATAGTGTCAAAACCTAAAAGTGAACATAATACAATTATTAATAAGTTATCTAGTGTTGATAATAGTATAAAAACTGCTCCTGATGGACGCCTTATTATCACAGACGAACCTCAAGCACCAACTAAGTCTGGTAAGATTTTATTATATAAATACGACAAGATACGAGCTTAGCTCAGTTGGTATACGTGTCAGCTCTTAATATTATTATTGTATTAGGTATAGTTGAATTACTCTGAAATAAGTAATTAAAATAAAAATAAATATGTATCCAAGATTTTAACATCAATTAAAATTTAAAGTAATAAAATTACCATATTTAGTTGATATTACTAGGGCTTGCAGTATTTTTAGTTTTTTAAAATACTGGTATATCGTGAATTGGTAATTACCGTTTTACTGAAAAACCATATAACGTATATTATTTTTATGTAATTGTAATAACAAAATATAAAATCCTTATCTTAGGTTGGAAACACTAATAGCGTTTTCTTTTTGACAAATTTGAGTGCACTGAAATTCCACTAGCACTCTACGAGTGTTGCACTATAGTCTTTTCAGAATAAGATCTGTATATGGCGGCGACCATTTTTCGTCATTATGGTTAGACGCTTTCCCCACTACAGCGACACGTCGGGCGCTGTCACGTAACAAAGCTACGCCCATGCGCACTATTTGGCCGCCTTTACCGATCTCATTCTGAACAGACTATAGTTTTCTATAAATCAAATAAGAAAAAAAATATTATTATCAGATATAAATTATAAATATAATAATATGATAAATAGGAAATTAGATGATAATGTGTCCCGTTATAGAGAAAAACGGTTCATATTTATAAGATACATCCATTACACTGACAAAATCGGTGGGGCAGAAAGTGCACATGACTGTTGTCAGTGCAATAAATCGAATACAAAACCCTGCACCAGTTGACTGAATATTGGTCGAATCATTTATGTTTTTGCAGTCTGTGCAAAAAGGGCGACAAATTGAAAACATTATAATACATTTTCTGGCATGGTATTTTTAATAGTTACCAAGGTACGGTATTTCAGTTTTTAGCTTAAATACTGTTTAACCGGTATCAAAATTTGAAACACTGCCAGCTCTAGATTAAACTCCTTTTTTTTAGAATATTCTCTACTCAAATAGTCATTCATAACTTATAAGTTATAATTTTGAATGATTAATATAGGTATAACAAATACAATTAAATATATGTTTCTTTTATGCCTTAAATAAGTAGGTATTGAGGAAGAGGATGTTGACAACTACAGTGATGATGACATGCCATCCAAAAAACGAATAAAATATACGCGTATGTTAAATTTAATATTTTAATATAATACCCCTTATAAATACTAATAAAAATGTACTTTTCAGCTGGAGGCAAAGGTATTCATCGACCATTAGATAAAAATTCAGAAAACAAAGGAAGGATAAACAAACAAATGAAGAAGAATAAAATGCAAAATGAGGCACAAGGATCTTATAACAAAAACAAAGGAAAGAAATCTAATGGAAATGTACGTCCATTTTCTTATACTGATTTCAAAAGTTACGGAGCTTCAAATAAAAAAAAAAGAAAAAGAAATTAGAATATTCATAAATTATTCAGAATATTGTTTTATTGTTGATGATAAACTAAAATTTAAATAAATAAGTAAATTACACCTAAGTTGTTTGTTTGTATACATTTATATTCTTTTTAGTAAAACTCTTGAATATTTGAATCAAATTGAATTAAATCAGGACAAATGCCTAAACTTCTAATTAAATCTTCTATAGTATGTAAATTGGAATTTTCTTTTTCATTCAATTTATTGAATAGTGATGTCAAAGCCTCTTGACAAACATTTAACCATTTTTTTGATAGCTTTTTTATTTGATCTAAATTATGCTGAAAAAAAAATATGAGAAATAATTAATATATCATAATGTAAAGGTACAAAATTATAACATAAAACATTATCTAAAATTAATAACAGACTTTGATCAGAGGCAGTTGATTTTAAACACAATTTATTTTCTAAGTACATTTAATACTAGCTAGGATAATCAACAAAAAATTGAATTGTAAAATGTTGAAATCATTTAAGATGACTCAATGCACTCAAGTAATTTGAAAATTAGAATAAAATAGGTAGGGGAGAAGATCACTATACTTTATTCAAATTTGATTAACCAACAGAGGGGGCATACATCTCCTATCACAGATATTACTGACGAGCAACGGTGTTGAAGGTTGCAGTATCACAAGCTGTAAATGTATAATTAGATAATTTTAAAATAACTAGGCTCAGTAGGCATGTGCAGTAGGTAAACTTAATTTGAATAGAGTATATAAATATGCTAGATATTATCATTTTATGTGGATCTATTAAAATGTATTTGTAAGAACACTGCTGGTGGCAGATATCAAGGTTATTTAATTTATAATTTGGATTGAAATATAACATGCATTCAATACTACATTTGATTAAAAATAATTTTTAATTTACATTTAAAATACTTTCTAGATAAATAAACTAAACAGATGCAAAAATACAATCAGTTTTAATGCTTTATAAATAAAAAAACGGGTAAGTGGAAGTCACTCTAGGTTACAAGCTGGTGACTTTAATGGATGGTGTTATCTATTAAATTTGAATTCAATGATATAAAATCATTGTATCCAAAAGCGATTCTGAGCGAAGGTCTGTGAGCCTCAACATTACTAAGTAGGTATATTTTATGATATTATTGTGATCAAAATAATTCATTTTAGAATTAGGCATTATTTTTTTTATAGTATCTACTACAGTGGGTTAAATTAATTTTTGCCAAAAAAATTACATTTGAAAATGTCCTTCGTCCTTGTGTGTATCAAATATAATAATATACTCTAAAAGTTTCATATATTCACAAATAATAATTTTAAATTATAACGAAATAACTAAAATCGTTATTATTGATTTTAATATGTAATTTCGTCCAAATTTGATACTTAATATTTTTTAGATACTGTATAAAAGTTCTATTAATGAGAATCTTTTTTTTTAATTTTCAACTCTTAGCTATGAAAATTGCACATTTTATAATTTTTGAATTACAATATTTAATAATTTTTGAAATTTATCAAAATTTTGTATTTTCTTAAATGATTATAACAAAAAAATCATGCCTTACTTCAATATAATATTTGAATTGCTATTGAAATATAATATGAGGAGTCTTGCATTAAATTTTCAAGAATTTTTATAAATTTCTAACAATTTCATGATTTTTAAGTATTTTGTCAAAATTTGAAATTTAAATGCTTATAAGAGAATTGCGACTGTATTTTTAATAGTTTTGTATTGAATTTTCAAGCTTTTTGACCCAACAAATAAAATTTTATTGACATTTAAAAAAAAAAAAAAAAACTAAAAAAATTGGAAACTGAAAATGTTGTTAACAGCTCAAAACAAAGCACCCTACAAAAAAAACTAAAAATAGCTAATGGCCTTAGTTGCCGGGCTATAAAAAAAAACCCTTAAATTTTTCAAAATATATGGTGTATAGAAAATGTTAATATAATTATATAAACGTTCAGTGAAAATTTGTTTTTGTTTGTTTTAGAGTTACAACAATAACCAAAATTGATTTTGTCAAAAACCGATTTCACTTTAAGAGGACGCTACACCCGCATGTGTTGTCTCCGTCTTACAAACGCGTAACATAGCAAATTACGTCCACGGAAAACAAACGAATCGGCATCAAAAAGTGGTTTTAGAGTAAAAATACCTATAATAAAACTTAAAGAGAACAATATTTTGGAGGGAACCTCATCGGCGTTTTTAAAAATATTAACTATTAAAAAAGTTGTGGTTATTTAAAAAAAAGAGTTTTTGTGCCTTCAATATCTAGCTGTGTATTTAGATTAATACAAAACCCCGATGAGGTTCCCTCCGAAATATTGTTCTCTTTAAGTTTTATTATAGGTATTTTTACTCTAAAACCACTTTTTGATGCCGATTCGTTTGTTTTCCGTGGACGTAATTTGCTATGTTACGCGTTTGTAAGACGGAGACAACACATGCGGGTGTGGCGTCCTCTTAAGACTCCTGCTAATCCCTAATTTTTTTTTTTGTATTCCCGGAGCTTTTGAAAACTACTGGGACATTTTTATTTTTACCCCCCCCCCCCCAAAAAAAAAAAAAAAAAGTACCAAAGATTAACTATCCTATCAGAAAAGTTACTGTTGAAGAAAACCTAAACATTTTTACTGTTCTAAAACGTGATGAGACACAAAAAAAAATTTGAAAAAACATATAATTATAAAATCAATAAGTACATTCATCTCAGAATCTAAAATAGAATTAACTACATATTTTATTATTTTAGATAATATTAGAGTATGGCTTGATAATATTTAGTACTCTTATATGGAGCTTACTTTAACTATCAAAACCCTATTATACTTTTAACAATCATAATAATTGTCCAACCTGTTCACTATTTTTGAGTTCAGACTTGAGTTCTTCTATAACGCGGCGTTTATCTAATAAATTTGATGGCGTCTCATCTTCAGACTCCAATTTTGAAATTGATTCGTTTGTTGGGATATTATTTAGTGTTTCTACATTTTCACCAAATTCAGTGGACAAATTCAGATCATCATTAACTTTTAGTTTCTTTGGTATAGTTTTTGGAGTTAATGTACCAGTGGACTTCCTCTTGAGTCCTACTCTACGGCAAGGTGTATACATTTTGTCAGAAGTACGCGATAGTTTACATAAAGTTGGTGATGGAATAGGATTTTGATTATCAGACATTTTATTCTATTATAAACTATAAAGTAACTTGTTATGTTTTGCAATCCTAGTTCTAAACAAAAATCACAACAAAAATGAAATAATTTACCGCTGTATCTTCAAATGTATAGTTAACTTATTGTTATTTGTATAATTGTATGATAAATCTACCTATATCTAAGAAAAAATAAGAAACATTAATTCTTTTAGTTCAGAAATGGAATAATATTCTAACTTAGCAAAATACGTTCAATTGTTGTACTTTGCCAGTTATTCACTTATCTTATAGTGTAATGTGTATTCTAAAATTGTAAACTGTTTGTACTTCTTAAAAGTTAAAATACTCATAAGTCATAACTTACTATTAACTCCGAAGACCGAAAGTCCGAACTCGCTTTTTTTTTTTATTCTTATCAATCCGGGAGAACCAGGGTTATCACCTTAATTACTGATAAAGCAGTGTGACCACTGACAACAGGGAAGAATAATTATAACGCATGATCTGGACTGATTGTGAGGGTGCTGTTCCTAGACTGCAGGGCCGTACCGCCGTACCGGTCCAAGCGGCCAAGCATATCTTATCATTATCACCATAGAAAAGTAACTATGCAGTATCCCGTGAAAAATGAAAATATTTAAAAGTATGAATATAGTATGAAGTATATATTTGAATTAGTAAATAGTTATTAGTATTTAGTTTCACGTCGGACTTGAACGTTGCCACATTAATTATGCCAAAAGTTCGAAGAAGCCGGAAACCACCTCCTGATGGGTGGGAGCTTATAGAACCTACTCTAGAAGAATTGGAGCAAAAAATGAGAGAAGGTAGGTACGAAACGATTTTGGTTTCTCTAAGAATACTTGATTGTCAAGGTACTATTTCACATTGTTATGTGATTTTTAGCTGAAACTGAATCGCATGAAGGCAAACGTAAAGTAGAAGCATTGTGGCCAATTTTCAAAATTCATAACCAGAAATCAAGATATATTTATGATTTGTTCCATAGACGTAAAGCTATTTCTAGAGGTTTGTATTACAATATCAGTTTTGAATACAACTATAATTATAATTATTATTATAATTTGATATATTTTAAATCCTAATTGCAAGAGGAAATACAAAGAAAATATTTTTAAAAGGGGACAATTTATGGTTTTCGTTTGGGGTTTTAGTATTACAGTTGCAATGTATACCCAAACTTTTTCATGGTTCAGAATAAAGTATCTTTTTAGAATTTGTTTTAATTATCAGTGGTGGACAGTTATTTTAGCCAAAAGCCCAAAACATACCAATTTTTTTTGTTATCGATCTACCTATATGCGATTATATTTTTTAAAACTGATTTGAATTTGTTATAACTTAATAAGTTTAGTTTAAATCCAACTTGAAGTCCACTTTTTCCAATTTCCCCCAATCCCCCCTCAAGTAAACATTATAACAAATTCAGATCAGTTTTCTGAAATATTGCATTTTTAGGTCTATCGGTAAGATGGCAAAATGTACATACAAATAAGAATAAATTGTTTACCATTTTCACAAGCAACACCTTATATATGTTCTTGTAGGAGCACTATACTAATCTATTACACTCAGTCTCATACAGTAATGATAACTTACCACGCACATATTTACAAAACCAGTATGCATGCTATTTGAAAATTGCCTATTTCAAACTCCTTAATAACTGTGCACCATCGATCCCCTTAAATTAAATAACTTAGACATAGTCTGTAGTAAGTAAGAAAAAACTGTTGAAAAGATTATAATGTTACTTAGTTAAAGTTAAATTACAATTTTTTGTTTTGATTAGCCGCTGTTTGATTAACAAATAATTAAATATTTAACTACATTTTGTTCAATAACTAAAAATACAATCTGCTTGTATTTACTATTATATATAACTATATCCAATATTTTTAATATAAAATTATAAAAGTTTAGGTATAGTTTAAATTATTATTGACTTTTTTTGTTATAGAATTGTATGATTTCTGCCTTCAAGAAAAAATTGCTGATCAAAATTTAATAGCAAAATGGAAGAAACAAGGTTATGAAAATCTATGTTGCCTTCGTTGTATTCAAACTAGGGATACAAATTTTGGAACTAGCTGTATATGCAGGGTTCCAAAATCTAAACTAGAAGAAGTAATTGCTTAATAATTTAATATTTTAAAATCAACAACAATTTTACTTATGTATTATGTTTTTCAGGGTCGAATTGTGGAATGTGTGCATTGTGGATGTAGAGGTTGTTCTGGCTAAACACTATATACTAGTTAAATCATTATTGTATTATTTTTATTCTTAATACGTGTAATGAATTTATTTCTATATTAATATGTGTGCGGTATAAGACTGAAATTAAAACAGCATTCTAACTGTAACTTCAATAAGTTAGATATTTTTAATTTCCATAATGATAATGTAAAGTATGAATTGCATTCATTTTTAAGATAAACATTTTTAATAATAAATATTATTGACTTTTCTTACTGTTATATCAATGTAAAATGTTTTGTGATACTACATACCATCAAAATAATTGTATGTATGTATGTATGTATGATTTTTCCAAATAATTGTTGGTTTTTGTAGGTACAATACTCTTTCTCATATAACTATATAAATAATCCCAAGTGGCATACTTCTGATATGACTCGGGCTACTCATATTCATGTTACTCGACTAAACGTCTTATACTTGTTCTGCTGTTATATAATATTATATAATATAGACCTAAGACATTATTGGTATTTTGAATTTTGGCGCCCAGGGGCACTTATAAAATGGCACTCCTCTTTTAGGGGTAAGGAAAGGAAGCACTTCAATGTTTAACAAATTAAAATTATAATCTTATATAATAAAACACCGAAAACAAACGTCAGAATACGTGGAGATGTCGTAATATATATAACTATAAAAGTATAGCCTTACCTTGTAATTTGTTTTATTATAATAATATAATGGTACAGTACTAAAATTCATGATTGATAGTCATGTGTATCTCATACCAATTGCAAGTTGCAATAATGATAAATATATTTCATTTATACCAAAAATCTAAAATATACCTAATAAGCACATTAAGTGGATATGTGGTTGACAGTTATTTTAGCCAAGTTATACCAAACTTTATTCCACATTTCCACCATACTGTTTTTGAGTTTAAAATACAAAGAATTAATTAGAACTGTTAGTATTTGTATTCTTTTTTATTAAAGAAGTAAGTAAGATGGATAAATTCTGATTTCACAAACACGTTGCGCATAAAAATACTAACATTTCCAAACAGTCGCTTGGGAAGTAAACCAAATTTGTTCCTAAAGGTTTAATGTGTATACCGCTATACGGAATAATTTGAAAAATTGGCGTTCTTAGCGCTCCTAACATTAAATTCCGTTAAATTGCGACTCACTTTTCGACGCAGAGTTATGACTACATCGTGGACCGAACTTATATAAATGTAAACAAAATACCCAGATGATGAGTATGATGACTCTAAGTTAAGCCGTATTAACTGGTTATGAGGCAGCCGGTCGCACGGGATAAATAACTTCTATTTCTTATTTTGATAATAATTGTGTATTTATTTTGTGTGTTGTAATTGTTGGCTGAATTAATTTTGTCAAATTTCAGGGGGAGGTTGACTGCCAAATTGTTTTAAACCTATTATATAGGATTTGGTTAAAGGCATTAAAGTAACATTGAGCCAATGACGTCATGTCGGCATCGCCTTCATTAAAGTAAAAAATAGGTTAAGTTTCTGTTTTACAATAGATCAATAGGTTAGGTACCTATATCACATTTTAGATTCTGAGTGGAGCGATGAATATATTGATTTTACAATATGTGGTTTTTTTTTTTTGTGTCCGCGTACTGTGTACACGATAAGTAGTCAAATAATGCTTCGATTTTCAACTTCAGTATCTTGTTGAGAAAGTGAATCTAGTTGGTGCATTGGGAAGGTCAGAATTCCATATTCCCAGACCCCAGTAGTTTTCAAAAGCGCCTAGAAAAACTAAAAAATTTAAGGAAAACCGTAATTTTTACGCATTTTTTTGCAGCCGTTGCAGGTAATTAAATATATTTTTAATATTATTACATAGGTACGCATTGGTTGAAAAAAGAAGAGAAATCTGATCAAAATTAAAACAACAAAAGTGGATGGCAAATTGTTTGTGAGAGGTTTCACATTTTCTTAGTGGGTGAGGTGGGTGGTTGTCAGAGATCCTTGCCATACATTTAATTTTGTACTTCGGCGGTAATTACTAGATGGGAGTAGAGTATACATATTGTGACATTGTGTTCATATTTATATTTCAGAGCTTTTTTCCCGCCTACCTGATATAACAAGTAAAAATATATAACAAACGATTTATCAGGGATACGATTAAACATTTAAACCTACCATATACCTAGCCACCTAGGTACCGGCTGGCTGCAAGGTACAGAGACAGAGTATATAATATATCATCTATGGCAATTTTTAATATCATGTCGGCATTCGTCGGAGACGATTAGGATCAACGGTTCTAATAATTTCAGTGAACAAAAAACAGTTATATACCTAATATAAAATAGGACAACTATTGACGAAAAGTTCGTTAAACAGTATATTATAATATTATAATGTAAGTAATAACAAGAACTCATACATTTCGTTACGTTCAGGTTATTTTCATAAAATATTAAAATATTTCGATACTTTCAAGTTTCATTTCGGAACGATATGAAGACAGAGAAGATGGCTGTTTCTTAGGCGGCGGTGCGGCTTGGGTACTGCACATCTGAATTATATCTATACATATAGAGGCACAGCTAGGGTTCTCCGGATGAATCGATGTCTACGCGTAAGTTTGTTTTCATATTATTTTGGGGCTTACATTTACTTTGTAGACTTAAATTAAATATTTATTCCCACAGCTAATCTGTTAACTGGGTGACCAGGCGCGTACTCAAAATAAAAATTCTGGGGGGAGGGGAGGGGTGTCATAATTTATATATATAACTATAATACACAACTATTCATTTCCATAGAAACATATACGTTTACGCCCCTAAGTCCCAAAAGCGCTATGTACTCATAAAATACTTGAGGTATTTACTATTTAGTCGTCCAAAGCCCGTCTTCGTTTCACCACGCCAAGTTTAATACGTATCTTTTTTGCATATACTATAAGCCGAGTAACACCTTAGGTTTGCAAGAAGTATTTAAAACAATATAACATTAATCTTTACATTAGTATACACTAATGTAGACTATGTTACATTAGTAACACCTCATTTATTTTATTAGTATTTATACCATTACACATATTTTAGTATAGTTAATCAGGGGCGTGCTCACGGATGGGGGATGAGGGTGTCCCATGAACTTTTTTTTTATGCGTAATTTATAGTTCTTCGATAATTTCGGTTTACTCAAAAAAAAAAAATGTAGTGTTTGTATCTGTTAATTCCCCCATAGGAAAAAGCTGAGCACGCCACTGTAGTTAATACCTACCCTAGATATAGGCATTAATTATTAATTTTAATTATAATAATTAATATAATACAATATAATAATACACTTTAATATAAATTAATTGTTGTCAAGACTCACTGCTGCAGTCTTAAAACGTACACTTTTCTGGTATAACTTCGTAATTGTCCATTTTCAACGATAATTTTCACTTAAACGATATAGGGATAAAAATAAATAATAAAACCTAGGTGGCTAGGTACATATAATATAGGTATACCACCACTATAGAACAACACTTGGCAATTAATATAAGCAATGAATTCACAGGGATAGGTATATACCGTTGCAAACGTTCTTCTTTCATAGTTTCATTCTGCACGTTTTTGATGGCGAACGTAAAAAACTAAAAACGCACGTATTGCAAGTACCTAGGTATCTAATATGCAACGGATTTACTGACTACAGTAAACAGCAAGATCCAATTTTCTGCTTGTAGTGAATGATTTGTAATTTTAATATTTTATACAATAACATTCGACAAAACGGACGTCAATTAATATATAATTATTAATTATACTATTTATACTAACATAATATTATGTATTTATGTATAACATTATAACATTATTATTTATTGACACTATTATTATAATACAATACTATGTTTATCGCACATTTTACTTCGAGACTATTAATAATAATTATTATTATCATCGTTCAACGATATGATATCCAGAAAATTTGAGTAAATATCTCAAATATATCAATGTGTTACAACATAAACGTTTTGAATAGGTGTGGGTAGGTACTTACCAGCGTTTTAGAAAACAAATCCCAATTAACTCTGTTATGAATTATGATTGATATTGGAGCAAATTTACTTGTTATTACATTTAGAACTTTAGAAGTAAGAATATTATCAAGTAACCTCATAGGGTTTTTTAAACTTAAATTTTAATGCAAGTTATGAATATTTTAAAACGACTGCCCCAAAACGAGATTTGACTATACTGTGTGAGATCTTCTGTGTCTCATCTGCGATCTGCCGCTTCATTGCAGTCGCCGCGCGCCGCCGCTGTTAGTTCTTTTAAACATACGAATATTGTATAGTCTCTTTTCTATGATTATAAGTTATAAGTTATAACATATATACCATACGCTCCGACCATGACACAAAAATAGATGGGTATCAATGTATCATACTATCATCACAGTTTTAATATTTTTTTTCAGTATAAACATCTACTCAACTTCCGGTTCATGTCGTAGTCCTCCACTACTAATGGTTGATTTTTTCCTAAGTTATATAATATGATTGACAGCCAATAAAATGTGGAGAACTACGATATAGCCATATAGGTGAAGTAAAGAGCGGAGGATGCGTTTCAAAAACTGTGATGATACCCATCTATTTAGTCATGGCTCCGACTATGATAGTTTCTGATCAATGATCATCCATTTAAAACGGGTAGATATCTATGACATGTAGTTTTCCATCGATCATTTTATTTGTGTTAGTTATTGATTCCGCCGTTTTAAAATTAATTCCTCCGTGTATAATTATTAGCATTGATTATAAAATACAAATACTATTATTTATAATCAATGTTATTAGTAATTACCTATAGCGCCAATATACGCCTAGTATTAATTAATATTAATTTATATGTTTGCCGACCATAAATTAAAACGTAATAAAATCGGCATAATACAATTATATTAAATAGGTACCTATTATCACTACTAATTACTATTGATTAATTAATTGTTAATTTTCCATACGATCAACGCATACATTCTTTCCAGTTTTATAAATTATAAATATGTATGAAATAATTAATATAATATTATATAATATCATTGTTATAATAAATATAGGTATTAATATAATTTAAATAATATGCTGAGTTAATAATTCTTACAATTTATTGCACAAGGGTACGGTTACATAAATTATTACCTAATATTAAAGTAAAATTGTATGGATTAATAAATTATTGTAAATTACAATACATTTCCGCTCATGGCCACATGAAACCATTAGGAAAAAGGGTAAGTAATAAGTTTTAAACAAATCACTTATGAGTGAGTAGGTACTTACCTAACACTAAATGTTTAACAAAATCACTGTTTTGTAAACTACGGAATAACTAATAATGTGTAAACGATGTTTTTAAAATCGTTTACAGCCTTTGCAATCGCAATAATCCGATCCGGAACCACAGTACCCGTTTGGACTACAACAGCTGAATTTGGTATTGGGTTCGCACTCGGCCTCGTATTTGCCATCAACCTTGTCCGCTTTCGGACCACACGTGCCAGCTCTCTTTTCTCCATCTTCCAGGGTCCACCACTTCTTTGGTCCAAATCGGTACGACGGTTTCGTTTTGAAATTCACGCACCCTTGACAGTTACAGAAATCAGCTCCCTTACCGCAATAGTTGCCGTTAGAACAGCAATACGCGTTTTCGTCGTCTGGATTGCAGGTGGGAAACACACCGTTGATTTTTGGTATCTTTCGACCACACCTACGTACATGTACACGTATATTAAAAAAATAATACTTTCACGTTCATTTTATGCATGTAAACAATAATTATAATATAAAATATTTATATTAATGTTATGATTACTCTTTGAAAATGTTAAGTACCTTCCGCGCAGGCCTTCTTTCGCGTCCAGGAAATACCACGATACGGGAACGGTTGGTTTGATTGGTTGGTCCAATATTATTTTTGGATTATTTCCGAAGTCCTTGCACGTTGGACAATCACAGTATTTATCACCGGATCCACAATATCCGGACGGTCCACAACAGCTGTAACCAGGATCGTCCGGATCGCATACTGGATAATAACCTTTGTACAATGGAGCGGAACGACCACACAACCCTGCAAAGTCATCTCCGTCTTCAGATGTCCACCTAAATATAAGACATAACATAAATTTAATTTTTAAATATTACATCCATCAACATTTTTTTTTTATGTATGGTGGATATATTATACAAGGTGCTCAAACAATTTGGAAACTGTGATTTGACTAATATTAGGACTAAAATATAATGATGTTATTAAATAATTTACCTAATAAATATGCAGCAGTGTTATTGCTAGGTATGTGTATGTATAAAAATATACAAACAGTAAGTAATTAATAAGAGTTTCCAAAATTTTTAACTCCTTGTATTACCTATTTTTTTTTCTTTATAGTATTGTATTATTATATAATTTATACGTACCAACGTTTTTCATCTATTGGTGAACATTTATGATTTACATCATTAGGATTCGTTTTGTCACATAAGGGTGCGGTATACACGGTATTCAAAAGTGTGAGATCGTCGTCATCCAAATCTACAGACCAAATCATCAAACCACCTACATTTTTTTCGGCCGCATACTTGATTTTATACTCTAAAGACTTCTTATTTTCGTAACCCAAAAATACTTTAGTGGCTGCGTTCCAAGCGTATGGTGATTTACTTTTTTCATGAAAACTTTGTTCGAAACGTTGATCAGACAAATGGTCTTTTTTTATATTGAACCACGGTGTATAACCACCTTGGAAAACACCGTTTACCGCGTTTGCCGTTCTCCACATCTGGTCTTTCCCATCCACAGAGTCACCTACGTTATTCCAAAACCGACCATAAAACGGAATACCCATGTTGATTTTATGAGGAAGTTTGGATTTGCAAGTGTAATATTTAATGGTCCAGTCCACGTTGGTTTTGCCAGAAAACCTAGGTGGCATTCCAAAATACAATGGTGCTGGTGGTCCCGTGTACGCGCCCCATTTACTTGACCAAGCGCCGAAAAAATCATAGGTCATTACGTTCACAAAGTCTGCGTACTGTAGCAATCCTGGCAAATCAAAACCTGGATCCAGTGTCCATTGTCCAGCAGCTCCGGCAAAAGATATGAGAAATTTGTTTTTACGACCTAAAACAGAAAGAATGGAAATGTATGTATTCAAAATGTGATAAAACGCTTAAGTATAATAATATAGGCACCTGCGTCCGTGGCAAAAACGTCCAGAGCCTGTCGTAAGTCTTTCATGAGAAGAACGTAATTAGTCTTATCTTGTAGCACACCCTCTATGGCTCCACCCGTCACTGGATATTCCCAGTCAATGTCCACCCCATCGAAACCTACCCGACAATAAATAATACAGTCAAGTATAAGTAATAAATATAATTATTATATGATATAACTATTATAACTTAATAATTGTATTGACGTACCGAATTTTTCTATGAGTTTAACAACAGAAGCTATAAACCTCACCCTGCTATCGGATGAAGCGGCAATTCTACTGAAATACTGAGAATTTTCCCATCCTCCAACTGCAAACATGACTTTTAAATGTGGGTAGAATTTGGCCAAGTTCATGAGATGCTCCAGCCTACTCCGTGCTTTGGCAGTTTCTTCTTCTACGTTAGGACTGTGTGCTATGTCCGGTGATCCCAGGTCGACGGTGCCGTCGGCGCGAATTTCCAAAAAAGCATAAATTACGTGCGTCAACTTGGCCAACGCATCGCTCCTTATCTTCTTTAATCCCCACGAAGTGTAATACCCGATAATACGTTTACCACAGTTTTGTACTGACACCTCGACATTACCACTCGGAGGTGAATTATCGTCCTCCAAATCAGTGTCGTCATCACCCGCCGAGTCGCCCACCACTGCAGCTTGACGTTTTTTGATTAGATCGAACAGTTCTTGTTTCTCGTCTAGTTCCGACGGTGTACAGCCTCTAGAAAATCGATCTGAAATATCTCGTTTTTGCTTTCTCTTTTTACTCATTAATTTATCTTCCCATTCTTTTTTCTCGCGATCGTCAATTGTTTTAACGTTCATACAATCGAACACGTTCACCGGCAACCATATCGTCCCTGAATCTGCATCGTTGTCAAATCCAGGATTAATACCGACTTCTCGACCAGCCGTCACTTCAATCGACTTAACCCATGGATTGCCCAATGTACTGTCATATAGTTTTTCGATTTCCGATTGCGATCTCGCCGTGAATATGTCTTTTTCTCTATCGGCTATCGTACTGGGTTTTATGAGTGAATTATCCCCGATGAAACCCACGACTTGCTCTATATTTTTTTCATCTTTATAGCACAACATTTTCCAAAAACACTTGGGGACATCAATTTTTTTTTTCCCGATGTTTAAACCTAACGATTCTTTACAAACGCCAGTAACGACGAGAGTACGACGTCTCGTACTAAAACACTCCACGTGAAATTCTAATTTTTGCCAGGGATGTTCGTTTATATACGGTACCTGAGGGGCAATATTTATGAATGAAAATGTACTTTTCGAAGCTTTTTCAGACCACCGAGCTATATTTGCGGGAGTCAAATGTCCTTGATCCCATCCAGAATTGCTATAATCGCTACCAACAGCCTGATGTTGAAGTAAAGCAGTGCACGGATACCTGAAGAAACTTTTTCGACCAACGTCTTTGGCGTCATTGTAGCTAGATTAACATTAAAATAAAATACAATTAAATAATGCACCGTTATTGCTCTCTATTATTTTAGTATAAAACGATTAATCAACATACCTTTTGGATTGGAATTGGTTACTTTGGTGTAAAGCTACTGACCACACGGGTATTTTTCTTGATTTGTCGAACATAACTACATACACGACTATATATTTACTTGTCGGAATTGAAGTAAGACTTTCGATCTTTGGAGTTTTCACAGCAACTATGGGGAACATACTATCACTACACTTATACAAGGAACATTCTGGTTGTGGATCCCACGCGGTCATTTGATTTGTTTTCTTGGTGCACGTTGCACTCGGGCCTTTTTCTTCATATCCTACCTTACACTCGTAATGACATTTAGATCCAACTTGTTTTTTGCTACAACTTTCAAATGACTCAGACAAAGAAAAACGAACACCTTTTGGAGCGTCACACTCGGCTCGTTTACAACTATGCTTTCCTTTTTGTGAGCTGGTTGCCCGTGTGCGTCTGTTCTCACAACGGTCGACATCTTCTTTTTTCTTATCTTTGTCTTTAGGTTTCAGTTTTCCATTTTTGTTTTCTTTATCTATATTGTTTTGTTTTGGTTTAATTGTGTGTTCTACTTTATCTGATTGTTTTTTTATATTCTTAACGGCCGTCTTGGACCCTTTAGCTATGGATTTTAACCCTGTACCAATGATTTTTCCTACACCCGGCGCAATAACAGTAAGACCGACATCAACCAGCGATGATCCTAATAAATCAATTCCTTTCTCTTTCGCGGTGTCCCAGTCTCCAGTAATAACGGCCCCTCCAAAGTCCACGGCATTCTTTATGTCTTTCACTATGGGTATGTTAGTAAAAGCATTTTTTGCCCCTTTTAAATCACCTTTGACTACTTTATCTACAGCCTTCACAACTCCTTTTGCTGTGTCAACGACCCCTTTTACTGTGTCTTTTACAGCGTTTACCACTGTATTAGCTACCGATTTCACCGCTTTGCCTATCCAGTCAAAAAACCCTCTTTTACTCCGTTTTGCCACTTCAGTCGTTCCACTAGGATTTCCAAAGACTGTCAGCGACGTTTGTGTTTGTTCATTTGTACCGGAAAAACATCCCAATATCATGTTCTCGTCTTGGCTAAACGGATTTACTTGATCAAACGCAGCCAGCGTAAAATTTGACTTACTTTGAGCAACAAGAATCATTGAATTTGTCGATGGTTCCATTTTCAAACTTGTTTCTTGAGAATTATAAAAGTGACATCTCGAAGTATCAATAAAATATTCTAAATATACGTATGCGCACCAATCATTAGATGGCTGGTTACAGATCTTTGCACATGTTTCTTCGCAGTTTGTTTTACAATCGATTTTATTTATTGATAACTTGGGATCCAAACGTAATCCTGGAGTGCGTATATAATTCAATGTCGGAGATAAAAATGAAGGTTTCTTAAACAAAGTTAAAACATTTTTATTTTCTATCAGTTGCACAAATTCAGAGGACATTGAACATTTCCTTTCGGTTACGGAGTAAGACATGCGTTTATAATTTGATTTTTCGTAATCAGATAAACATTTGTCAAATGTGACTTCGCGTAAAATCTGTATGGTGCTTGCTGAATTCGGTAAAGGTTTGATCTCAAGGTTTTCAATAAACTCGTAATTCTTGAGGTACTTGTGTATACCAACAGTGTTTTTTTTAGGGTACTTCAACATGAATGACTTCAAATATTCACGTTGACCAAAGTTTGCTATAGTTATAGTTTCAGCCAGTTCGGAATTCAATCCAAACCCCATACATTCAGAATTATTTAAACATCTACTCATTTCAGTGTCTAAAAGATTGTCGATTCTTTCTAAATAATATAAATCGCTATCCGGGCAAACGCTCAGATTTTCAGTACCACTCACTTTCTCTGGGTAATAACATGTTTTGCAACCCGTCTTGACGTTACATCCTTGAGATGGAGATGTAAAACATGGTTTAGAATAAAAACTATTGTGAGTATCGTTTTTCGTCAAAGCACATGGTTCGTTACTGACTTTTGTCGGTTTTAAGGACAATAAATTGTCGTCACCCGTCTCATAAAAACGCCATTTTTTTCCGTTTCCTATCGGTAAGACTTCCATACGAAACGCCGATACATAACCGTATTCAAAGTCGACTCGTTGCAACTGATTTTCTACGTCCCGGTAAGTCGTGCACGTCGAGTTCGTTAGTGAATACGAGACGACGTTGCATTCCCTTTGCGCGTTACACTTGTCCAGACAGGTCAAGAACGTGCCTTCTTGCGTCCTACTCATAAAAACTGCTCCGGCAGCTAATGTATGCCTTGAATACATCCAATCGTACAACACTCCAGTCGGCTGTGTCATAAACACTGTGGTCCAGCGGTATTCTTCCTCCAAGTTTCCGTCTGTACTAGAAAATGCGTAACATTTTTTCGCCGCGTGATCGTAACTGAAAGCCACACAGTTACTGGTCACGAAGCACAGCCCAAAGCAATCCGGGAAATCGAAGTTTTCCCGTACATCCATGGGATCCGAGTCCAGATACACGTTTTGATACCGTTGTTGTGGAAAGTTAGGGCACAGATCACAGACACGTATCCCTTCATTTTTCACGCGAAACATATGAGACTTTTCCACATCGACAAGATCGCACCGCAATTTGTCGGGCCTGATCGTGAAATTGTTACCCTTCAAAAGCAAATATCTAACGTAATCCGTAAACGACGTGCCTGATATCTCTTCTACGTCATATTTGTCTGCTTCGTTTGTGCTGTAACAAACAAAGTATTAGGTAGCCATTAGGTAATATTTTATAAATTTTATTATTTATCATCAATTTTAGATATTATGGAATTCTACACTCTGTTCAAAATGAAAATTACCCGGCGGTGGCCAGTTTTCCTTCCGTGACGGTCAAACGTCGTCCCCACTACTGCGGCGTGTAAAGTTGTATCGTATTATTCTTTTTAAATGTAAGATTTGAAAATTTAATTAAAGATTCCTCAGACGTTTGTTAACCTTTATTAAAAAAATGTCTACTCTAAAGTCAAATAAAATTTTTATGAATGTTTGAAGTTCAAATGTTTACAAGATTTTACTCGATTTTTCAAGTAGGAGGTAGCTATATTCTTATTTTGTTGTAATTCAAAAACGAATAACCGTAGGTTCTTGAAACTTATATCACTTGTATATTTGATAATATTATACGTAGGCACAAATTATAATTCCTATTGCTGTTTAAAAGACGTTGGACATGACCTTGAACTCATGGTTGTGATATTTATAATTAATCCTATCATATGTTATCCTATAATTTTTCAAAGAATTTATTTTTACAGATTTAAATTATAATAGTCATTAATAGATAAATGATAATGCTAGTTAGAATAAAAAGTAATTAACGAGTAAGACGTAACTATATTATACGAAAACGTAAATCGTAAACAAACAACAAGGTAGAAACATTGGTTATTGATTAAAAGAAAACCATCGTAACAATACAAGCTAACCTCTTGTTCTATGATATTAATTGTATACATAATAGGTACCTAATAATAAAATTATAGCTCTTAATTTCGTATAGTTTATATTTTAGACGTTGCACGTTGGTGCATACCTAATTATATTATTGTTTTTTTTTTTAATGTTATCATCGCATATTATTATGGAGGGGAATTATGAATTTGATGTTTTAAACCAATATACGGTATGTTAATTAATTGCATGGAAAGTCAGCATCCCTAATTCAAATTTAGTTTAAATTTATTCTAGAGTTATTTTTTAATGTAATGTGTGACTCTAATGTTTGACATTTTACGATGATTAACAAAAAAAGCTGTAAATATTATTTTGATTTTCCAAACTTCATAAATAGGCATATTTTATTTTTTTATTTTTTTTTGTGTTTGTCATCATGGTTTAGGGCAGTAAAACTGCTTCGATATTCTTCAACAGTATCTTGTTCGATGGAAAAGTGAATCTAGTTGATGCATTCGGAAGGTCAAATTTTAAATTTTCTTATAGTTTTCAAAAGCGATGGGAAAAACAACATAAAAATTAAGAAAAAACGAGAATTTTTACGCAAAATTGGTTTTCCACAAAATCGATTTTGGTTTTTAGTTTAACTCTAAAACAAATGAACGTATATGTATACATGAAATTTTTACTCGTAGTTTATATTTGCATTTTCTACACACGATAAAACTTTCAAAACATTTTGATTTGCAGTTTTAAACTGTTTAGGAACATTTCCAAATTGAAATTTTATTAGTCTTTTTTTCTATGAATGTCAATAAAATTTTATTTGTTGGGTAAAAAGGGTGAAATTGAATGCAAGGCTCCTGATATATTTTTACAATAACAGTTGAAAAATATATAAATACATAGGCACAATTTTTTTTTATAAGCATCTTGATAAAATAAGGAAAAATCACTAAAATTAGCAAATTATTTTCAGTTGAGAATTCATAAAAATTTTTCTTTTTAAATATAAGATTTGAAATTGTAACACAAGATTACTCATAAGTTTATCTACCTTTATCAAAACAAAAAATGTCTACAAGAAAGTCAAATTAAATATTTATGAGCGTTTGAAGTTCATAATTTTACATTATTGTATATTCACTCGATTTCTCATGTAGCCGTTTTGTTATTTTATTGTTATTCAAAAACGAATGATTTTAGATACATGACAATTTTACCGAATGTTTACATTAAACTTAAGGTCTGTTTATTGTAATATAATATTTAAAACAAAATGTAAAACGTATACATCATTAGTTTTAAATGTGCTATAAGGTATTAAGGTATAATAGCAGTTAATGGTGGAAATTTTGAACAATCATACAAATATTACATAAAATATCAATGAGTGCCAAGAAGTAGCTAAAATATTAACACTATAGGTACTTTGGATTAGATGTATCTACTAACATTCCAATGAATTGATATAAATACTGTGTCGTTTTAAAATATCATACTTTAATACATAAAAAGCTTATATTTTTCATAAATTCTTTCAAAAAATAATATTTTTATGACGCGTATCTATTTTTTTCCATTATAAATACGAGTTCTACATACATTTTCAATAATGTATCTCCGGGATGTAAATACTAAAAATTTAATAAATCAATATTGAGGTAAATGTCCCCTAAACATTTTTTAAATTTTCGTTGACCTTTATGGCTCATTAAAATTTAGTGAACCACTAATAAACGATATTTCATCAATATTTATGCAACCTGGCATAACAATATTATTTTGCTGTAAGTTTCTTTAAAGCCGCATATATAGATATAAATACTACGAATTAAATATTAATTGTATTAAGTTTATTTTGCATAATTTATTATTAATAATACACTTATATAATGTAATATTATATACAAGCCTAACCATATCTAACCTAACCTATCGTTAAAATAATAATTAATATTTCACGGTTTATAGTGCATTTAACACGTCCTGCTTATAATATTACAAGTGATAAAATAATTCATATTTACTAAAATAGTGAGGGGGCATGGTCCGCCCCCCCACCCCGAAGGAGCAGTAAAGTCTACATTTTTAGATTAGATTATATCTACCTACCCGCCGTTGCCATTGACAGGAGTGCTTCTCGAACAGCACTGGAACAGATCGCCGCCGGGACAAGTATGTGAACCGATTCGAACCGTGTTCGACGGACACCCGCGACCGCTCCGGTCTTTCGGTTGACACCCCGACCACCAACAGTCTCCGTCATGTTCGGCGGTGTCAAGAGCACTGCAGCATTCGTATTTAAAGCCGTCCTCCTCGCACGCCGTCCGCTTTCTTTCCGTTCTGTTGTAGCTGTCGCAGCCCTTGACCGCCCAATTGTTCGGCTGACACCCAGTCCACCAACAGTCTTCGGCTGCAGGCTCCACGTTCAGGTCGGGCGGACAGCAGTAATACTCCGAACCACCATCGCAAACTTTGACGTTTTTCTGCGTCCGATTGTACTGATTGCATCCGGTCACGGCCCACGTGCTCGCCTGGCATCCGGTCCACCAACATTCTTCTTTACCTGCATCAGCACGTAGATAACAAAACATCGTTTTGTCCAAATTATTGATAACAATTAATAATTTTGAAAAAACCTTGGAAACATTTTAATGCTCAGAAATATATTATACAGTGTATAATGTTTATAATACGCTGTGTTAAATAGTGTTTAATACGCTATTATATTAAATAATGTAGAGGGATTTTGATGGCAACGCTGGTCTTAAATGGATCGTTAAGCTGAGCAAGAAGGAGAAGAAGAGAAAGATTATAATATATATATATTTTAGCATCGAGACTTCATGCCTCATGGTAATATTACTTATTAGTTATTATTATCTTACGTTAGATTCGACATTTGCAGATTAACATTATATTGAAATATATTTTTAATTTTAGATTCTGAGCGGAGCGATGAATGTATTGATTTTACAATGATGTATGTTTTATTTTTTTTTTTTTTTTGTCCGTGTACACGATAAGTAGTCGAAATAGTGCTTCGATTTTCAACTTCAGTATCTAGTTCGATGGGAAAGTGAATCTAGTCGGTGGATTGAGGAGGTCAACATTTGAAATATCAGTAATTTTTAAAAGCGCCGAGAAAACAAAAAAAAAATTGAGATAATAGGAATTTTCACTCAAAATCGATTTTCAACTAAATCTGCTTTTAGTTTTTGGCGTAATTCTAAAAATGTATAAGCACTTTATAGGTATTAGCCATTAGGTACTTATATTATAAATATAATTTTGTAACTCCTCCAGAAAAATGTATTGTAATATTGAATAAATTTAAATCTTCCTAATTCCATAATTATCACTCAAACACGTACAATACATACAAAATTCTTTTTAACAATTTCTATCATTTTATAAATTTGTTGACAAAGTTAAGAGATCCCGTCATTGTAACAATAGGTTTAAAAATGTTTTGACATTTCCACTTTAAAAATCGTCAAAACTATCTTAAACTAATGTTTGTACACAAATTAATAAATAACAAAATTGATTTCCCTCAGTTTTTAACATTAATATTAATTGCAAACATTATGACTTGTAATTTTCTCTATTTAGTTTTGTTTTACGTACCTACTGTAATCCTATTGATTTTAAAACTATTTTTAAACCTATTTCAATCCATGTATATTTAAACTGTGTTTTAGTTGATATGTCCATATTATATGTGTATTAATTCATTTTCTTACATGTTCAACTATATTAACTACAAAAAAATATTATATTTATAGTAAAGAGTTTCCCGTAAAAAATAATTAACGACAGTACCTACCGTGCCTATAGTCTATACCTATAGGTTAAGGTTATAATAGTTATAACGATTGTAAATGTATAAAATAATATGTATGGTAATTTGAGTATTATAACTTATATGAATGGATTTTTAATGAATGCGAAACGATAAAAATAAAATATAGATACTCAAAACAAAATTTAGGTAAGTACTACCTATTGCTTTCCTACATATTACAGCAGTTATATATTTTTTATTCTTTACTAGTATATATACTATATAATACTGTATAGTACTATAGTGTAGTATAGGTACTACGTATTAGTTATTAATTTTATTGTTTTTTACGCTTTTTGTTCCATACGCTATAATCTATAGGGGGATGCTGGAATTTTGTATCAGCAGTACAGACAGTGATATTTTATAGGTATTATATTATAAGCTAAAATATGATTAAAAAACTAAAGTCAGTTTATGGTTGCTAATGGCCTATACCATACATAGTATATATACCCGCTTCGGAATAAGAAGATGACTTTGCGCAGGCAAATCAACTTCCTCCACCGCACCACTTGTCTTTACGACCACTTCCGGGGGTTCGGGGACCAAATCAAAAACCGGTTGTGCGAAACGGACGCAAAACGGTCTTCCTCGCAATCATCTTATTCCGCGGCTGATATTAATGTATTATAGGTACCTAGTGTAGTAAACCGACGGAGTCGCTTTCCTTATATATATTAAATATTATAAGTACATTTCTCACGATGTAGCACGCTGGACAACAACAAGACTATTAATCTTTTTTTAATACCTTGGGTTGGGCAGCGTAATTAGAAAATTAATCTAACGATTAATTTACGGATCTTCGCTTTACCAAAAGAATGCGAAAACAAACCTATAATTCACTCGATCTTCGCATGGCCAAAATAATGCGAAAACAAAACTATTAAATTGTTAATAGTTTTACGCGGAAACAAAACTATTAAATTGTTAATAGTTCGGGTCTTTTGGCAATAACAACATCTAGCTCCGGCCCCTTTCAAATATCCATCTCCTAGACTCTACCGTGCACGTTTATATCCGCATGGATTTCATATAAATAAAAGATGATGTCTATAGCAAAATTAGAATTAGTTTAGAGTTTACACTACGTACATACTGTACGTAACTAACTTCTCGGGCAGATGCTTTTCGCTCTGTCCTCAAATTTATTTACACTTAATTGTGATCAATTACTTTTTTTAAACGTTAATAAAATTACTTATACCTAACTTGTGTAACTTGTCACTCTGCAACCTTTTCTAGTTTTCTCCTATTCAACCGTCAACGTCTTTGAACTCAAAATATAAGCGTTAGTGAGGGATCACTACAGTAGTAATACACTCAGTACAATCAATCGGCTGTTCTAATCGCGTGGGTATTTACTGTAGTAGTGTAGTATTATGCATAGGTATTCTGTGCAAATGAGTATAATATTATTTTATTTTATACTCACTCGGAGCGTCAGCGGCATATGTTTGTGACGCGATAATGGAAAGTAAAACGAAGTATCGCCAAAATCCATGAGCCGCGAACAACATAATAATTAATAGGTAACAATAAGTATTAATTATGACATTATTTCATATCAATATTATTTCCGCTTCGTTGAACCTATCTGTAGGGTATGTGGATAAATATCTATACCAGTCCACTGCACAATTTGATGAACCGTGGTACGAGAACGAATCTCCGCAGTAAACTGAATATTACGTCGAGTATGGTATTATATTGGCTGAGCGTTTTGTGAAGCACAAATCACGTCTTCGTATTTTATGATAATATGTAAATTCTAATCGTCTCGTCGAATTATAGGTAGGGATCCAATTCTGGACTCTAGACACCGCACGCACGTCGAATAATCGTGGGTTTATACTTTATACATTATATGCGCATTAGACGTCATCATTATAATATTATACATTTATACTAATGCAAAAATTAATATTATTATTATAGAGGTAGGTAAATATTATTGTAATATCAATCTGCCGTCGTTTCTTTTAATTACATCACTTTATCAAGAGGACGTCACAATGAAGTTTTGTTTCAAACGCTGGATAACCTATGATTTGAATTATGAATAAAAATAAAAAATTTAAATCGTAAAACTCAAAAACCACTGTAGTAATTGTATTACTTTATTGCATAGACACTATATTGCGGAGTGATACTGAAACATTTTAGTCAATATATAATAATATTATGTACGAAAACGATATTTCCCGAGGCATTTCGTAAGCGTATTTTTTTCCTTAATTCATATTTGTAAAATAGGTTACTACCGGTTATACCTGTTGTAAGCCTGTTGTAGGTGAAAAAAGTGGGATAAAGAGGAATGGGTATTATTGTATTAATAAGTATAGTTAAGAGGGACTTAATACTAAAAAATGCGAAACGCTTACGAGCAGTGCCGGATTAAGATCGACCATAGCCCTAGGCATACATTTTTTTATAGCCCATTGTAAAAAAGAAAACAAAATTATAAAAATGTTTAGATTTATTTAATTATTTTAATTCACTACTTTTTTCTTGCTTTTTTAAAGCTGAAGTAATTTATTGCATCATTTAAATCGATAGCATATAATAATTCATTTTCAATATTCATAGTAGAGCTAATGCGTTTAACCTTTCCTCTCACATAGAAGATTGTAAGTAATTTTTTACCCGTTTTTCACTGAAAATGCCCGTTTCCCGATACAATATGCTACGGCTGCACTTTTTAACGCCCGGTTAAACTGACGTCTGACACAGTGCGTCAGTGCCATTTTAAAAAAAAAATATCCCCCTCTGAGGGCCACTTTTATCTAGCCCTAGGCACGTGCCTACCCTGCCTATATGTTAATCCGGCATTGCTTACGAGTTATCACTTAAGAGGACGTGCAGTGGCGTATTTAAGAATTTGTCATGGGGAGGGTCCAGATAATTTTCAGAACACAGAGCCACGGGGGACGAAGCCCCCCCCACACCACCCATTTACTCTTTATTAAATAAAATATACCATATTTATAATGCGATATAAAATTGTCGAGTTTTTAATTATTAAATAATAATATGTACAAAACAAATTTTAAAAAAAGCGGGTGAGTGGATGTCACTCTGCTGCTGTACAGTAGGTTACAAGTGGGTCAATATATAATGGATTGTATTAAACTTGAACTCAATGATATAATAAGAAAAACGATTCTGAGCGAAGACGGTTTGTCAGTCTGGATATTTTATATTGTTATTATTTATTATAGCCTGTAAGTTGAATTAATAATGAAATACTTTTATTTTTTATTTTTTTCTATGGTGATAGACAAAGTGTTAGAAATTAAAATCTCATTTTTAGCGGTTTTTCGTAATTTTTTGGTGGTTTTTACAGTGGCATTAAATAAATACCTATTGAGAAAATCGAAAAATGAAATCTCTAAAGTACTATCTTGATCCAATTTTCTAAAAGGTAAGTTACTATATGTCTATACATGTTGAAATCGAAGCACTCCTTCTGGAAGAATTTTTGTATACAGGAAAAAAAAATAAACACCATTGTAGAACCAATAGATCCCTCAGAATCGAATATATAGTTATATGGTATAACTTTTATACAAATATTTCCTTAATTACATTAGGTACCTACTTCATTCATAGTTGATCTTAGATGGCTTTTCAACCTTAAAACGTTTGAAAAAGATCTCTCTGGAGTGGTTGTAGATACTGGAAATGTACAAAACTACAAAATATTTGAATTAAAAAATGAATTTGGTATTTTTCAACCATTTTCGGTACCCAACTGATAAAAATAATCACGATATTTATTGAAAATGTTGATATAACTATAGCTTCGAAAAATTTTTATACAATCCGTAAAATGGTATGATAAAATTTGTTTTTTAATCATGTAAAAACTGCACAACATTTAACATGTACGAGACACGAGTCAATGGGAGGGGTCCAGACCCCATGGACCCCCCCCCGTAAATACGCCACTGAGGACGTGATACCCGCATGTGCAGTTGTCTTCGTCTTACAAGCGCCTGTAACATGGCAAATTTTATACGAGCTCATCTGTTATTTTAAAAATTAGAGTGAATTGAACTCTTATAAAATCTAAAGGTAAGATTATTATCTAGGAAACCCCTTGGGATTCTTGTTACAATTTAATTTTAAAGCGAGTTACGAACATTTTAAAATTGTAAATTGTTCGTACATCTTAAAATACTATTATAAGAGCCAAGAGGTAAATTCATTCTAATTTTTAAATTAAGGGGATTCGATACCGTGATTTTCTGTTTTTGTCTAACACACTCGCGACATAGTATTTTAGACGTGTTTTTTGCCAAACATACCAATTGATATAATGAAGCGATAAGAATTCTGAAAACAGATTTGAATTTGTCGTCAAGTCTACTTGAGATCGACTTTCCCACATTTTTGATATTATCCCCCAAATTTTTTAAAATGTCATATTCAAAAAGAGTATTTAAAAGTTCTGGTATTTCAATTTTTGGAGAAGTTAAAATCAAAAAATGAAAAATGTGGGAAAGTCGATTTCAAGTAGGCTTGACGACAAATTCAAATCTGTTTTCAGAAATCTTATCGCTTCAATAGATCAATTGGAATGTTTGGCAAAAAACACGTCTAAAATACTATGTCGCGCGTGTGTTAGACAAAAACAGAACATCGCGGTATCGAATCCCCTTAACGAAGCCCGTGTTCTGCCGAGCGTAGAACTTGCCATGTTACGCACTTGTGAAACGGAAACAACGCTGCGGTATCACGTCATCTTAATATAATATTCTAATTTCTAAATGATTTCAACCTATCCTAATTGTTTTACAGTCACACACAGTCACGCCGCGCCGGTTTGAAGATGATAATATTATGGATATATTCATTTAAAAACAACAATTATTATTATATAATCTATACGACTATACAATAATGTGTGTGTCTAAACACTATATTGTAAATACTAATGTATATTAATATTATTACATACCTCATAAAAATGTGTACCAATATAATATTGAATACATTTAGCCATGTAGGTTTTAGCCTATAAACTATATTATGTACTATAAAACTTATAGGTAGTACAATAAGCGAAAGGCGTGGTGACACAATTAATCAGGCAATTAGCAACTCAAACACGCAAAGGTGCGTCAGTGAATGTGAAGAACGTATAGTGTACATTTAAATATTTTAATAAAACCATTAAACTAAAATCACACGTCTCTTTTTTTTAAAGTTGAAACTCCGATGTCCACAAAAAGGATACGACCAGAATACCAATAATGATGTTGTGAAAACACAAAACCCACCTATAGTACAGTCACCATAGTCCATAACTACGACTATTTTTTTTTTTTTTTATAGCACCATTGACGTTAGAGTTACTTCTGTGTTTAGATAAAGAGTGTTTTTAGACCGGGAGTAGGGGAATGGAAGATGATATACTTAGTAATATCATAGGCTAACTGACCGTTTTTGCTCAGAATTGGTTTTCTTATACAATGATATTATATCATTGAATTCAAATTTAACACCATCCATTACAGTGACCCACTTGTAACCTACTGTACAGCAGAGTGACATCCACTTGCCCCCTTTTTTTTTAATATTGTTTTTTTAAGGTGTACATTACATTTTTATAATATTTTGTGATCTAACAAAAACTCAAGAGTCGAGACTGACTTAATTTGTTGCATTTTTTGTGTTATATCCAAAAATATGTTTTTCATTTATAATTTTTAATTTCCTGAAAAAAGTATATTATTTAATTTGGTACTTTTGTTTAGCTCTTATAAAATATAATAAATACCTATATCGGCTATATTTGTATAGTAAATATTAAAATGCTTCATATAAGGAGAAATAATATTTAAATAGAGTGTAGCCGCCATTTAGGTATTTTATTGTTTTAATAATTAATATTACTTTTTTATTCAATTGGATATTTGGGTATTGGCCATTGGGTGTTGAAAAATAAATTTTCCAATATTACCATAAAAAAAGTAATATTACCGGTAATTTACTCAAGTAGGTAAGTTATCTAAAAATAAACTTCCTGTAATTTTACAACACTATAAGTATGTTTGATCCGCTCATTATAATAATATATTGGTGTATGGTGTATAGTGTATACAAATGAAATATGATAGTATAATATTATTATTGTACACTTATAAATTATAATCCTAACAGTATGAATTGTTTATTGTATTGTTGTCATACAATTTCATTTAATGATGAAAACTATTGATGAATTAGTTAAAAAAAGCTATGTCTACATAAAATAAAAATATATTTCCTGTAACTCCAAAGCTCTACTTGCATATAATATAAAAAAGTGGGTCGCCGTATAATGGATGGTATTAAATTTCAATTCAATGATATAATATCATTGTATAAGAAAAAAGATTTTGAGCGTATTATGTATTAATGTAGGTATTATACAAATTCCCACACAAACCATGACATTATATTCCCCAATCAAAGTCGTACTACAGCTAAGATGTTTACACACCATTCGTGAGTACAAAGGCACTCACATTTT